GGAACAAGAGTGCTTTACAACACTACAGCATTATTAAGAACTTTTTTGCTATTTGAACCAATACAGTAGCTTAGTAACCACAACATGAATTTATGCATTCCCTATGACTATGTGGAACCTTAATTGAACTCTGAGATATTTAAAAAAAACTACAGGCATTTCCAAATTCATGGCGTACAATGATAGACAAAAGAAACAATATCCAAGGATACACCAGACCAACAATATTGTATTATGTTCACCCTTCCTGTTATTTTCTGAAAAACTTTCTCTGTCGCTCTCTCTCTCTCTCTCTCTCTCTCTCTCTCTCTCTGTTTCTCTTTTTAAACCCTAAATTGAACACAATCATTCAGCTATTTAAGAACTGTTTATTGAAGATGAATTTACTAATTTTGAATATTTTTAACTCATTAAAAATACCCACCTGAATACCTACGTTAAATTTACTCTTTGTTCAGCTCCGCTCCATTGCATACTTCTACCTCCTAATTTACATTATGTCTAGCCTAGTAAACTAGCCCCACCCGCCAGCGGCCAAAATCATTTTTGCCTGCGAGCTGGTCTAGCGTCAATCAGTACCCAAGGCACTAAATCTGGCGGGCCAATCACAACGCAGAGATGTGTTTTAAATGTCTGGATGCAAAGCGGGCGGGGTTTCGAGGGCGTGATAACGAAGCTGCACGACGCTGTAGAAAGCACAACAGTAGAATGCACTGCTTCAGCAGCAGCTTTCAATGGAGCGCTCCATTGAAGTTGAGAGGATTGCGGCAACCAGCGGAGCTCCAAAGCTAAGGGCAGCCAGGGCTGACCGCAGCCCATCTATAGCAACCCTCTCTCGGCATAGTCATGTGTGAAGGACCGCTGGCTCTAATGCCGATTTTTGACTCAGCTTTGGAATCAGTTTTGAAAGGATTACACTTGGAGTTTTCGTTGAAACGTGAGCAGGAAGAGGCTTTACGCTTATTCAATTTTAAGAAGGACGTATTCACCGTTTTATCAACAGACTGTTTTTTTACACTCACCCACCAGCTTCATGTCGTGCTTACTACGTCACAGTCAGTTGCGCTCATTGGTCAGAGCGTTGGCCAATAGGCACAGGCATTATTTGAAAAACATCGGGTTGTTCTCATCAACAACTTTCCGAAGTCTCATTCATCGGGGCCAGATTAAATAACACCTTTCATCTCCCATTTAGTCTGGTTTACCGGGCTATATTATGTCTGCTCTGCAGAGGTGCAATGCCCACACGAGCTCCGAGGAGCATGCACAGATTTAGCATTAAAAGGCAGTGAGCAATTCAGGATTCGGACCACAACAACTCCTTCTATGGATTTTTTAGGTGGCTAAAACTTGCTCGCTTTTTGTTTTTGGGCATCCAGATTATTTTAGGAGTCTCACACCCCTTTTCCAACCTGGGAACAGTCTACTTTTAGTGGCAGTGTGAACGGCTGACCCGTGTCGACCTGTGTCAAACTACTTGGCAAGCGACTTGGTTAAAGCCCCCCTCAAACGCCCCGGCTTCAATCGGCATACAGTGGGAACATCTACCCGCTAATGTATGCGTAACATACGATAAACATGCTGCCGCATTGGTGAGACAGATTCGGAGGGAAGAACCAAACAATAAAGAACACTTACTACTCGATGGTTCATTTCCCTGTAGCTCTCATTGTTTAATTTCCTGATTTCTTTCAAACTGATGACATCATCAACGCTAACCCAGCATGATGGCATCACTGGACACACAGCAGTGGAGGCAGTTAGAGGACACAGATTGCCATTGTGGTTTTAGACCATGCATTTTCTGCGGATTGGAATGGAGCTAAATGCCAATTGTTAGCAGTTCGAGCCATGATTGTTTGCTTTTTTGACAAGCTGAAAATGATCCGATTCTAGTCAGCAACCGATCCCTCTGCACATCGATTTCTCTGTACATCTTTGCATACAAACAATGTATCCTGTGTATCCTCAAAACTGTGACCATTAAATTTAAAAATAATAATGATAACCCATGCTGTGGGTGGGTTGTACTAAATTAGCAGACAAATATTAGGATTTTTTTCTTATTTTTTATTTTACATTAATTAAATGATGAAAATGTGGTTTTCATACATAGCAATTTAGAATAATTCACCTAACGTAAACTTTTTAAAGCCCTAAGAGATGGTCACATTGCTAGGGTCTGGCAGCAACGTGAATTCCTCTCGCTATTGTTAATAGGCGACTCTTATTGGGCCTTTGTGTTTATTGTCTGATTGACTTGGCCCCCGCTGGGCTCTAGGACGATTGTTTGCTTTCGCTGTCTGCCTGGGGAAGTCCCTCTTCGTCTCAAACAGGTCCAGTTACAGTATGTAACACAAAGTTCAGAGGATGCCCACGCCTTCCTGGTGTGGTGCTGCATCTTCCTGTCACAGATCACATGCGTTTGTCAGAAATGCAGGTCACTTTTTTACCCGTAAAGATTTTTCTTTTCTCATATAGGCCACTTTGTTAAGTAATAGCAACAAGTGAACTCTCAGATCCACTCTATTTTAGTCAGAGCCAGATTGTGGGTGTGCTGGCCTAAGAAAGGAAAGAGAGGTTAGATTCAGCATGCTGTTGAGCAGACATGGCAAACGACTCAGAGTGTGGTTTGGCAGAATTCTTACTGAAACCAGAAAAAAAAGTCACCCAAAAACTGACAAGGAGTGAGCTCCCCTCAAATGAGGACAAAAGAGAAGCAAACAGTAGTTCTTGCACATGTGAACTGTTCAGTAAGGAAATGCAAGGAGTTATACTACTCCTGTTCTGGTTGCCAACACACCTAATGAGTCTGTCAGGGCCAGTTAGCACAGCCTGGCCTGCTTATGTCTCCTCCAGGCCACAGACAGCTGTTATTGGCCCTGTAGTGCAGCATGTCATAGGGCTGGATTAGGCTGGCAAACAGGAAAAATATCAAACATTCAATCACTGTTGCTTCTTCACTGTTTAAAGTAGCTATTTTAAAGACCTTCATTTAGCAGTTTCTAACCATTTAACCAAGAAGCCTAAAAATAAATAATGACAGATGATGATTGGCTGCTATATCCTCTGTGAGTTTCAATATGTAAAATTTATTAAAAAAAAAAAAAAAAAAAAGGTAGATTTGCATAATTGCTTGAAAGGACATTGCAGGGTTATTTTTGATTATGCTTTGTCATTATTATGCAACCTATATCGACAAAATGGTCCCTTTTGCTTACTCATCTGTTTTTCAAATTATAATGAACACAGGAAATCAAAATAGAGTACAACAAGCACTCTAAATCTGCTTTTCACAATAACCTTCAGAGGACAATACTGGGCTGGAATCAAACGTTTATTTTTAGAGAGTAACTAAAATACTGCCATTGTATGAAAAGGGAGCAATTTTATAAATTAATTTCAGTAACATGCCATTAAGCGACTATTAAATTACTCTTAAAAAAAGAGATAAAAAGTTTGTACAACTTCACAAAACTAAGCATACTGTATATATATATATATATATATATATATATATATATATATATATATATATATATATATATATATATATATATATATATATATATATATATATATATATATACTGTATATATACTCACTGTAAAGAATAAATACCGGTAGTATCCTATAAATGATGATCATTCGGGTTCCTGCTTTACTTTGAACTCCACTTAGGCGTGGTAGACTGTATTTGTTTTGGTAGTATGTTTTTCGATAAGCAAGACGCAATGAAGCCTGGGTCATGTGACTAATGATGGATAAAAGGCAAAGCCTGAAATGGTCTAATAGTTTTCTCTCTTACCTAGCTGTTAAAAGTAAGGGGGGGGAAATTATATTTCATTTATATGTATGATTACATGCAGATTACCGTAGTTTGCTTTTTGTGTCCATGTGAGGTGCAAGGTGAGAAAAAAAAAAAAAAAAAAAAAAAAAAAAAAAAAAAAAATATATATATATATATATATATATATATATATATATATATATATATATATATATATATATATATATATATATGTATATATATTTCAAAAGGTGAATGAATGAAAGTGAAGCAAGTATGGGTAGAAATTAGAATTTAAGTATTAATGACCATTTGTTTTTACATCAAGCTCATCATTTTAATGTTGTTTTAACCAATAATGGACAAAAAGAATAACTTATCAGTATCTGTTTTAACCAAGGAGCCAAAAGGAGCAAAACTTGCCCCATAGAGGATAACAAATTTTGTCAATTAACACGTATAAAAGGACACTGATGCGCTGCAAATCAGGTAAAAGCAGTTGAAAAGGAGTGAAGAGCAATGATAATGTGAGAATAACAGAATATCAAGGAGTCTCAGAGGTGCAGTGAGGTGCTCATATTTGAGAGGGAAGTGAGGAGGGAGATAATGAGAAAGGAACGTGATAAAGGAGGTGAGATTTGAATTGAATCCTAGGAGGTACTTATGCTGCGGCTGCGGTCCTCGCTGTCAACCATGCTGAGCTACCCATGTTTTTTTCCCCCTTTTTCTTTTTGCTAAATAATTAGCTTCCCAACTAGTGAGAGCCTTCTGCCCCATTTGTTAGGTTGAGTTTTATGGCAGGGAGGAGCCAGAAAAACTAAAACCTCATTCACTCTAATTATAGGTTGTGCAACATATAGAAAATATAGAGTCGGTCAAGAGGAGCCTGGCTACCAAAAAAACCCCGAAACGCAACAGCTTAGAGAAATTAGTGCCGCTGTATGGGCCAGACATATGCAGCTATTATGCATGGTAGATCACCATGATCTGAAGGGATTTAAAACCATCAAAGTGGAGACTCTGTGGTTTGGTGAAAAATACTGAACTTATCTGAAGATTCCTGCAAATCTGATTCGAAAGGAAAGATTTTTGGGAACTTTGGAAAATGATCACATTTAAGAAATTATCTATTTCAGATTATGCTGTAATTGAGACATCTATTTATAAAATCCAGAGAATCTATAAGATTGTTGTCTTTCTGCCTCCACAGAACAGATACCCTGCCGGAGATAGAGGCGTGAGGCTCTACAGTTCCCTGCCCATGCGCCCAAACCCTGATGGCAAGAGGCTGCCCTCTACTGGGGTATGAGTCATTTCTCTTACCCCGCCTCTCCACCACCCCTTCCCCCCTTTACCCTTTGGTCAAGTATAATCCTGGATATCACAGATGAAGTAAAATGTTTTAACCTTGCAGATATGAAACCTCTAATGAGGAAATCTTTATCGTTGATAGGAAAGTTCTGTATCAAAATAATTCAAATAACAGGAAAAAACATCCGCTTGCACAACTTGATCAAACTGTATTTTCTTTTGGAAACAAACACCAAGTATATCAAATCAAAATGTAAACCGTACAGATAAAATTCTAAGCTTGCTCCATTGACTCAATGTGTTTTAGAGCCAGCTTAGTCTACATTTCAGAGTGTTGTGCAGCCTAAACATGAAAGTTTGCCATAGTTTAATGTTTTTGGCAAACTGTGATGGGATTTTCATACAGGATTCCTCTCTATTTAACTTCCTATCAGTTCTGATTAGCTTCCATTTTCTGGCTAATAAAAAGCATCCCCTAAGCATAAGGCCATGAGCAGCTTGTTTTGCTGTGTTAGTTTTCCGCCACATCCATTCTGGGTGTAGGCCATTTTCCCATTTCAGACAATGAACTCAACACTGCTGTCTGAGCTTTAGATAATGTTTCATGAATTAATCCTCAGAGGGTTTTCAAATGTTTTCACGACCTAAAATATTTTATTCAGTAAACCTTGCACTCACATGCCAGTGAGTGCAGCTTTAAAACTCCACTCATTGGCATTGCACAAGCATTGCGGTTTTTATTATGACTGCTCTGGTTTTATGCGATTTCATCTTTATCTCAGAGTTTTCATTTTGGACACTGTCTTCAGTTCATTGTGGATATTTCCTGAATGCTTTAGATTGAAAGCCAATCCTATGTTAGCAGTGCCCTGTCGACACCTAGACATGACACAGAACCTAGTTATAAAACTATACCAAACTGTCCTGTGTGCAGATGGAATCAATCCAACCTGGCTGACCTTTCTTTTACACAGAAAAACGTAAAAAAATAAAATAAATAAAAAAGGATTTGGTCTGTTAATACCGATAAAGACATTATCAAAAATGACAGCTTGCACTCCACACTTTTCAGATTTTTGTTTGCCAAATACAACTATTTTAATGTCTTTCCACATCTATGCAATATTTAAATCTGCCATGAAATACGCATAATCCCGAAGAGAATCATACTTATGTTTATGATATGATTTATATATAAAAAAGTCCCAAGGCAAACAATTATTCATGTAAAGCACTGGATAGTTTTTTTTTTATCTTCCCTCCATTATTTACTAACCTGATTACTGTGCACAAATGTGTCTGAGTGAAAAATTCTGTCCCATATGACAATTTCATCTGTTCAATTGTACTTACAATTCCATTCTAGTTTGTGCTTTATATCCAGAGTTGCTTTCCAAAAAGACCTTTAATGCAGGTGACGAAATGCATTTGATGCAAGAGCCCTCCCCCCAACAACAATCTGCTGCCTCAGGCATGATTGGAGCACAACATATAAAATAGGGTTATGTAGATAAAGCAAAGCAATCTATTTTTTATTTTTTTCACAATTTCTTTAGTTTTGCAAAACCGTTTTATGATAGCTCCATTTGAACATCAAAGCCTCATTTTCGCTTATCTCGATAAATAAGTGTTCACAAAGATACCGAAAAAATTAACGTTTATTGAAGTTGCTGCACTTGCAACTCTTTGACTTTGACAAAGTGCTGTAGCAGTCAGATGTTTGTGAAACCTCTCTTTCATTCTTTTTTAAATATATAAAAAAAATCTTTTAGCATCGTAAAAAAAAAAAGGAAAAAAAATCATAATTAGAATCTAGCTCGCCTTGCTTTTATGCATTTATGTAACAAAGGAGAGAAAATGGAAGAACAATGGAGCAAAAGTAGGGAATTTAATTTCCCCCGTTTTTTCATGTTTCATTCTATACAAGTGCTTTTTGAATTATCTCCTGGGTGCTCCAGGGCTCAGCGAGAGGAAGAGTGGGTGTGCTGGGGAGTGGGGGGATGGGGCAGGAGAGAGAGAAAGAGAGAGAGAGTGAAAGAAGACAGACAGGCAAAGTTAAAATAAAGCAATGTAATATTGTTGGTGTGCACCTTTTTTAATTACAACCCAGATTGTATTGATGTCTCTGGCTACATTTCCTAAATCATTTATCGAGAAAGGGAGAGAGAGACTGCTAACAAAGCACAAAGTCCTCCATCTCACAGGGGCTCGAATCATATGTTATCTGCAGTGAATATTGTTCATGTTTTTCAGTGAAGAGACCTACTTACAAATCATGGGAATGAGCTCCATGTCAGGACATTTTGAGGCAGTGAAGATATAAATCTACCCTCATCTGATATCCCCTTCTGCAAATTACACTTCATCTAAAACTGAATGTGGATGGTGTTTTTGAAGCAAATTTATGGATAACAAAAAAAAAAATATATATATATATATATATATATATATATATATATATATATATATATATATATATATATATATATATATATATATATATATATATATATTTGTGCAATACAACAAATGCGTCTAAATCGTCTGTTTTACAGTACAGAAGAGATTTAAAGATAACATCTCTGGTGCAGATTTGCAAAAGGAGAAGCTGTGTGATATTTTATCCCCCCCTCTTTGGTTATCTGTCATTTCCTTTTGTCTGTTATTACCTATGTGTAAAAGTCTGTACAGTAGCACACTGTAGCTACAGGCTGTATGGAGAGGAGAGGAGAATATAACCACTTAACATGCAGAAGGAAACCAGACGTTTTTCCATTGCACTTATCAGGTGCTGCGGTTAGAGCAAGTGTCAAGGTGCAGTAGGTCTCTGCAATACCCCCCCCCCCTTTTTTTTTTCCCCCCTTGATTTCTATCTCTGTACCCCCATCCCCTCATCTCATCCCTCCACTCACTATGTTCATTTCTGTTCAGTTAAAAGTGGGCTCGGCACTTCCGCACCAGCTAACTCATCCCCTCACCCCCCCTCCTTCACCACCAACACAAGTTCTTCTCTCTCTGTCAAGCTAACCTCCAACTCCTGCCTTTCACCTCAGTGTTTCCTGTCAAGGTGCACTGCCCAACTCCATATAACCCCCCCACCCCCACCCCCAACCTCCGGCTCTGCCCCCGCAACCTTTATTTCTTTTCACAGCTATTACAGTGCTAAGTATCTACAGTTTATTTTTTGAAACACAGTGCAGAGGCCATGATCTTACTACTCTGCTGTGATCGGTGTAGGAAAGGGTGCTATTATTGACTTTAGAGGGATTTCCTTCTGAAAACAGAAATATCTCCAATTGACAAATGTAAAACTTATCTAGTATACAGCATATAACAACTATGGGTTGGTAAGGTGTCTGAAACTATGCCCATTATATTTCTTCCATGTATTTGAATTCCTTAAAGGAAAACCCAGAGAAAATGTCCTTATGGAGTAAATCAGTGAAGCAGCTTTGCCCCTCCCTACCTGATGCAACACGCTGATAATAAGCTGTCTGAAAGAAGGAGTCACTCCTCTGCCTTACTTACTTAAGAAAAATCTGGCAAAAATGCTAGCATACGTTGGATTAGTTATGGTATAGTCAGTTTTGTATAAGTTATGAGCACCCTGGCACACGTCGACATATGGCAAGTACGGAGAGAAATTTTGATTCTTAAAGTATGCTCATATGGGGCCATAAGTTACAGGAAAGTTATTTGATCGTTGGCCTACGTTAAAGGTATTGTGGAGGACTTTCGCGAATTTTTAAAAAGAAAGTCCTCCTCCTGTTTTAAAAAAATGCAAATGTACAACCCTTTACCCTCGCCTGAGAGCGAACGCCTATTAAACGTGTGCGAGAGCATGCATGAGCCAATTTTGCCTCGTCCACGCTCTGTTTAAAAGTTGCTGTTCTCATACAAGCTTACTGTGCCCGAATGTCGGTCCTTAGCCCTAAATCCCGCAATCACTGTATAGAGTGGGGACTATATAGTGGCCTTTATAGCGAATTCAGTTAACTTTCCGTTTGAGCAGTGATCACTCATTTTTGCTCTCTATTGGTCAAGTCACACCTTCTCCACTGCACGGTGCCTCTGCCATCTTTGTTATTAGTTGCCACTGTTGGGAAGCAACAGCCTATGGCGACAGCGGACCGTTGTGAGAGCAAATCCTATAATGCTTTGCAAGGAGATTTCTCCTCAGCACTTTTTCAGTTTTTCTCTTACAGTACGACCCTTGGCCATTTGAAAAAGGTGAGCTTCAATGACTGTCTGAAACCATAGCTCACCACAGATATACACCTGAAAGTGCGCATGCCTAGAAATATTTAGCTAACGGGATGAGCACGCAGACCGGCCTTACGTAACCATATCAGCAGAATGAATTACTATTAGGAGGACCACTTATTTAGACGATCCACCCAGAAATAAAAGTTTGTCCTCTATACCTTTAATTGTAAGTTTCTCATAAGTCGTGGTGTCTAACTTATCCAAAACCAATAACGTGTGCATAACCTAAGCATAACTTGTCAAGAACTTATCTCCAACGCATATTGACGTATTTGACGTGTTTCAGACGTCCGCTTAAAGTGCTTCTAACACACAGCCACTGTATAATGGTGCAAACCCTTTCTCTTTTCTTTCTTTCTTTGTTTCTCTCTTTCTTTTCTTTTCTTTTTCTTTTTTTTTTGACAGGCGGTAAAAAGCAGCTAGGTTAGTACCACAATCTGGGCGCCTCCGGGTGCATCACTGCTCCCCTCAGGACACTGGTTTGTGACATATCATGGGCATTAAGCTGCCATGCGTTATGCATAAGTTAGGCTTTTGTTCAACATACGCTCTGGACTTGTTATGAAACTCTATGTATAGGCCCAAACTTGAAGAAATACATAGAAAGTTCAGCGTATTCTCTGAAATTCGTTTTAGAAGATTCTGCGAAAGGCATACACTGGATAAATCGTCAAGGTGTGACAGGGGCTTTAGAATCAACTCCAGAGGGGGAAGGTTTGGTCTAAA